TAGGTGAAGTTAGTTTGTTCTGCTTTAAAACAAATGTGCAAGAATAATGCAGTGTAAACCTTGTTCAAAGTCACAGGAAGGATGCTCATTAGCAACTGTGGGCTTTGCATTCTTTGGGAACACAAAGTTCAACACCGACTGTGCGCTTCATGCTGAAGATGTATCTTTTTTGTTTGAGCAAACAGATGAGAACAATGTCATAGGGAGGAACTTTTTTATCCACATTTTTTTCCAAGGCACATGTTCTCTGCATTGCAGAGTAGCTCCTGGAGCTACCTAAACATAAGCACAGATCTGCATGACCCAGGCTGAGGGATGAGAACAGGAAGGGCTGTGGGGCTGCTGCTGCCACCTTGGGAGAGGTTGGGGCAAGCCAGAGACAGTGGGGCAGACTGCAGGTTGTCAAGTTTGGGTTGCCTCTGATGGCAAAGGCAGTGAAGATAGTGGCTACCACTGTAGGAAACTCACCTCAACTGTAGATGCTGCCCTGTTCAGGCCTGAGACTGGCTGCTCCTCCTGCCCACACCCCCACAGCTGCCTTCTCTGCCTTCTTTGCCTGTGCTCAGACCCACCCTAAGTGATACTGCCAAATATTATTTTTTATTATTATTGTAAGCATTGTGACTATTTATCTGTAGTTATGTTCCTGAAGCATAAATCTTGTTAGATGTATTCGGTCTGTGAAGTTTGTAGATGTTTATTTAGTTCTCACTGCAAAACGACGTGCAGCACTAGATATTTACTGTCTTGATTTTTTAAATAGCTCAAATTGCTGTAGTACCTAGCTACTTCCCAGTCTTTACTATGTGTATCTTAACACCACCCCTGCAAGTCAGGATCCCTCTACTTGGACCTTTCAAAACATTTTTTTTCTAAACAGTCACTATGGGCATCAGTCCTACACAGTTCAGTGCACTGACAGTCTAGAAGAAGCTAAGAGGCACCAGTGGGACTCCTAACATGGAGCAGGCTTTTATTCCTTTCCTATTAAGATGTTTGCAGTTTTTACAATTAAATGGAAGAGGGTCTTATGAAAGGACTGATGACCAGTCTTTCATAAACTAGGTTTAGAGTGACTTTGCCACCTGTTGCTTACATGGACCAGCACAGTCACATTGATTCAAATAAAAGTTAAAGCACCTGCTTTTAACATGTGCCACTTGTGTTTTTCCAGAGTGAAGATTCAGATGAAGAAGACCTCTGTGCTATCAGTAATAAATGGACTTTCCAAAGAACCAGCAGACGATGGTCTCGGGTGGACGACATTGATACTTTGCTTCACCGATCAGACAGACATGGATCTTCTGGGGACATTAAAATGAAAAATACAACAAGCAGTGAGAGTGTCCTTACAGATCTGAGTGAGCCTGAGGTCTCATCTATTCACAGCGAGAGCAGTGGGGGAAGTGACAACAGGAGTCAATCTGGCAGCAGCAGCACCACCAGGGAGACCTGCGACTGCTCTGGCCATCATGATGTGGAAAGCACACTGCTGCACGAATCATGATGTGGAAAGCACACTGCTGCATGGCTCCACTGCAATAAATACCACTCTGTACCCCAAGGACAACCTGAAGAATGAAAAACCAACACGAACCAAAGCAAAAGCCTTTCTAAAACGCATGGAGACACTAAAAGCAAAAGGTGTGCATGGAAAACTAAAAAGCTCAGGAAGATCAGGTCCTTTAGAGATAAGTGGACCAGTTCTCCAGTTTGAGCCAAAGTCCTTGAAAGACATGCAATGCGTACAGATAGTCAATGGTGATCTCCAAAACTTAGGACAAGATTCAGTCAAAAGAGGACTTACCTTTTCTGCCAAATCCAGCAGTGACAGCAGTCAGTCTGAAAACAGCAGCATTGGGGTGAGCACACCATGTTTGAAGGAACGCAAATGCCAAGAAGCAAACAAGAGAGGTGGGATGTACCTGGAGGACCTAGATGTTCTGGCAGGAACAGCATTACGTCAAGTGGTGGACCAAAACCGCAAAAATGAATTTCATTCCCAAGAGAACTTGGTTGTACATATTCCCAAGGATCACAAACCAGGCACCTTCCCAAAGGCACTTTCTATTGAAAGCCTCTCACCTACAGACAACAGTAACAGTGTAAACTGGAGGACAGGAAGCATCTCTTTGGGAAAGCAGAACTGCTCTGCTCCAAAAGAGTCCGGACTGATGGCTTGCTGTCCTAAGGAGAGCAGAATCAGTATTTATGACAATGTGCCAGGTTCTCACTTGTATGCTAGTACTGGTGATCTCCTGGACTTAGAGAAAGATGTCCTTTTTCCTCATTTAGATGATATTTTGCAACATGTCAATGGACTCCAGGAGGTAGTAGATGGCTGGTCAAAGAATGTGTTGCCAGGTCTGCCAGTTGATGATGTGTCGGTGAGGGAATCTCCATCATTGCCTTTCCAGTCGCCTACACAGATCACTCTTGATTTTGAAGGAAACTCTGTCTCTGATGGCCGGACCACACCAAGTGACATGGACAGAGATGGAACATCCCTGAATGAATCTGAAGCCACTGGTGTTAGAGACAGGAGAGACTCTGGGGTGGGAGCATCACTCACAAGGCCAAGCAGGTAGGTAGCAAAATTTTGTACACAAATCCATAGACTGGGAAATACAATATAATGAGGCAGAGGCTGAGCCTGGGAAGCAGAAGGTACAGGCTACCATTACAGTTGTACTCATCCTGTATGGGGATAGGGCCTTCCCAGGGAAAGGGATGGCACTTTGGGAGGAGGGACATCCTGCTGTGGAGATTCTTATGTGGAAGCAATGCAGAATTGGTTTAATAGGACAAACTAAGGCATTTTTTTCTCTCTTGATCCATTGACTGCATAGTAGTGTGTATGTTGTAGGATGCATTTTCAGTTTATCTTCATTATGCATCAGTAGCCTTGTGCACTTTTTTAATGCACTGGTCTGCTTTAAAAATGTGTCCCTTTGTGCTCAAAGAGACTTTTCCTACCCTGCTTCAGTCCCTTACATGGTGGGATGAAATGATGGTATACAATTGACTTATTAATAAAAGTGAAAATCAGGATTTTGTTAATAGTTCACAGACCTGTTTTAAGTCGGTCAGAGGGACGAGTTTCTGTTGAGCCAAGGAAGTGTGGTCCTGGGTAAAGGCCTTTGTGGATCCATACTGGCATGTGTAGAGTGGCTTTGCACATGCAAAAGCAGGGAGAATATACCTGATATTTTCTGATCTGCTGTCAGTCTTGTCACATCCTCACAGATGATTCTGCCATACCATGGTTTACTGCAGCCTGTACTTGCTCACCACCATCACAAACAAGTGAACTTGAGGAGACTACTGAGTAAGTGAGCAGTGCCAAAGTTTTTAGGATTTGAGCCAGAACTCATACTTAGCTAAACAAAAAAATGAAATTAGTCTTTTTTTTTCTAATGAATCCAGTATATAGAGAAAGTGCCTTGGAGTAAAAAGAAGATGTGAGAGGCTCAATAGCTTGGTGGTTACAGCTCTTGCTAAGGAGACACAGGATTCAATCCTTTCTCAAAAGAATTCTTCAGTATTTAATAACAGAGAAATTTGGAGAACCTCATCTCCAAATACCTTGGTGGTCAGGTTGGTCCCATGGGAGGTGATGGACTAGGCATCATATCCCAGTTCTGAGTCAGGGAGATAATATTTGAATCTGGATCTCCCATATCCTGTTGGAAGTGTGTGGGCTAAAGAGCACAGCAGGCAGCACTGCTTCCCCAAGTACATGGACAGGACCCACACCGACTTGTGAATCTAACATTAAAAAGACAAAAATCAGGCATTTCCTAAATTAAAGAAATGGAGTTTTATTTATCTCCAAAGTATCTTTTATTTCAGTTGACACACCACAAGCCATAAAATACAGGTGTTCACGTATGCTTTAGGCGTTGCCCACGCGTATCTCAGAGTGTACCATCTTTTCTGCTCAATTAAAGCAGTTGTCTGAGTTTTCTATTGTTTCTTCTGCTAAAGGCGATTACGGTGGCACAGTTTCCAAATCTCTCAACACCTGAGCCACTCCATCGCATCACTTCACATCAGCAATCAGTCAGCAGCCCAGCTGAATCTACTGCAAAAATTCTCTCTGCTTCGTCTTACTGCCATCATGGAAAAGTACTCCATGTCAAACAAACATGGCTGGACCTGGTGAGTACCATCAATAGCTGGAAAAGTGACTCTTTTAGAAGAAAAATAGTTTCTTCTAATTCTGTTACTCTGGTAGTAAGTTAATTCAATTAGAAGGAACAATTGACTTCAGCTGTAGGATTTGAAACTGTCCCTTTTAATCCATTGCTGCCTAGTGACTCACTAGCAAAGTCAGAAATAGATCCTGGAAATCTGACTTCATTCCTGTGCTCTAACAGAGAGACAACCCTGGCCTTTCTAACAACACTCCAGTTCCAGAAAAATAAACAGGAGTAGGAGAGAGTGATTAAAAACTAGGAAAAGTTTACAGTAAATCTTACCCAGAATTCGGTTTGTGATTCGAAAAGAAACAGCTGCTGGTGATACTTCATGTATTTGATACTGGTTTGTTTGTGCTTTTAAAGAAGGGTTAGAACAGTTGTGGGACTTTTCTCTATAAATCAAAAGATGCAAGCTTTAGCCTAGACCTGGATCTGCATTACAGGGAGCTTGCAGCCCTGACAGTTGTAACAGCTACCTGGTCACTCAGGGACTGAAGGGCATAAGGACAGGAATGCTCACAATGTGGCACCCTCTGTAGCTGCTGGCTATGGAAACCTGTGTGTTTTATGGTATACAAACCCTGATGGGCGCCACAGACTGAGGTATACCAGAAATGAAAGTGGGCATGGATAAGAGGTTATAAGTATCTGAGAAATAATCAAAAGGATAACAGAAACTTTCCCTAATATACTTAGACACTGAGTTCAAAAATACTACGACTTGACAGTTATATTGTGATTTTCACGTTCAAAGCGACTCACCAAAATCCCACTAAATACATCTATGGGCTAGATAAGACAAGTTTTCCTCTAGAAATGGAAAAATAGATACAAAGAACTACATGTGAGATTCACCTCACTGACATCCACCATTACAAAAAGTTATAAATCTAATCTGAGAAAGTTGGGTAAGCTGTTTGTGATCAGAGGAAAAAGACAGGCAACTTCAAAGCAGCTCATTAAATCCAAGGCTAAGGGTTTGGGTCACCCTCCAGAGTGGGTTTAGCAGTAGTCCAGACAGCTCTCTCATTCTAAATCTCTGTTAGAGAGCGAAAATTCAATGACATGAAACCCCATTTTGCTGTTCTCCTTTGTTGTAGCTCCTCGTGGGTAGCTGACAACATCTGTACTGAAATGAGTTTCACCTGAACCAATTTCAAATGAGTAGACTAGAATTCAGCAAATTCTAGATCCTGCTGTTTGTACAAAGGTTTTCACCCTGACACGTATTTCTTCAGTTTGTGTAATCAGTCACTAACGATTTATAAGAGTGGGACTGTAAATAGCTGTAAAGTTATATGCTGTACTTCTTCAATGGGTCATTTAATCCAGATTTTATCTCCTTCCCACACAGATGAGAAAAATCTTAGTCACATTTAGGTCATATTCATTTTTTTTCGAAAAAATTTAATTCCATGGCAGTCATGACTCCCACAATAGGAATCCAGTTTGTTCTTGTTTTCATCATCATTTTTGGAAGAAAGCAAGCTCACTAGCTTCAGTTAAGTTACTCTACTAAAATAAATCATATAACACAAGGGATGAATCTGACACATAGGGATTTCACACCATCATTTCTTACGGTAAATTGTTAGTCCATAGAAATACTAAATCGTGTAACTGGTAGCATAAAAATCACTCAGCATGTTAGAGGACTGAACGTCCTTTTCCCTCAGATACCCTCTCCACTATGGTTTGCTGTGCCATTCCTTTGGGTCGCTAAAGGATGCGTTAAACCATGTTGGCTTCAGCTGAATGACACCTACATAGTAAAATCCTTTTGTTCAGCAGATTGTTGTTCTATATCTTATAGACAGAGGCCATCCACTATAGAAGCTGACAAGAAATTAATCAATTATACAGATTGTGAAGTGTCTGTGTATTGTGCATTAAACAGTATTTCACCATCTTTATGAAAAAGACCCCAGTTACAAATTTCTGTCTGTAGTGTTACTCAGAGGGACTGTGTAAATGACCTGGTATTTTCATGCAGCCTATTCATGTTAATTGTCAGGTCTGTGCCAAAGTTCATGAAAAGGATGAAAGTCCCTGACTACAAGGACAAGAATGTCTTTGGTGTGCCTCTCATAGTCCATGTCCAGAGAACAGGACAGCCTCTTCCCCAGAGCATACAACAAGCACTACGCTACTTACGGAGCAACTGTTTAGATCAGGTATGAACTTCTTTACTCCATGGACTTGTTTGATTTTTTTCTGAAAAGCCACTTTAAGCACAAAACAGTGAGCCTTGAATTAGGATTATTTGAAGATTATTATATGTCATGTTGGATGCAGATCTCCTCTGGTGATTTGAATTCTTGTAGTTAGAGCAGTCCTGCTGATTTGTATACCAAGGTTTGCCTCAAAGAATGATGTGAGAACTTCATGTCTGTTGAATCAGACCTATTGAATCAGACCTGGCAAGAGATCAGGACTCCCAGATTCTACCTGTATCTGTACTACTTGTGCTTGACTGTTGCCAGTGAGGGTTAACCGCATTCACTATTTCACAAGATATAGTATGAAAGGTTTTATTTACTTAGCAAAGAAAGAAAAGTCCAAGAATAGAGAGCAAACTCAGCAAAATATTCCAAGTATTCTGTTGACAGAGTCAGATATATCCAGATAGTTAGGTCAGCAGGGGTTCAATGCCAAAGTCATTATGGTATGTTGCCTTTTATAGTGTTCTTAGCTACAACAAGCCAGCTGGGACATCCTCATGCTCAAAGTATTTCAGATTTTTTTAATCCCTTTAAATACAGAGCAGGGACATACCAGTCATATATTTACTGTTCTTCCCCTAAGGATAAGTATTTTTATGAACATAGGACTGGGAGAAACCCCCTGGCTGATTATGTTCAGTCCTCTACTGTTATTTGCCTTATGTCATATGACCTCTTTCATAATTGCTTTTAGATAGTTGTGAGTTCAGAAGGAACAACTAGCATTTTACTCTGCAGACTTTGCTGCTTTCCTAGTTCCAAGCACATGAAAAGGGTGGAAGTCGTTGGTTCTGTCCTCTTGTGATTAATTTTTTTTCCATTAAAAAAAGGAAATGAGAGTTTGGATAAATATAATTAAACAAAACCAGAGATCAGGAGTAGCAGAATGATGTGCAGCAGGAGATTGCATAGGTGAGATTTGATGTCTGACCTCTCAAATCAGACTTAACTCGAAGTTTTTAAATGTTCTTTATATCAGCAAGGACACTTTCCATCAAAAGCAGAGAACTGAGCCTCTGGTCTCACATTTATTTACCACAGGCCAAAACTTTTATTTTTTGGACAGAATTGTGGTGTGTCCTTTTGCATCTTTAGCACACATTTCTAATAGAAAAAGGAATTTTAAAAGAAGAGAAAGGGAAACGGAAAACCAGATTAAAAGAGATGGATGCTCTTTTTTGTATTCTCTTGTCAGAGAGAAAAGCAGAGCTTCACTTGTGATCAGAAATACAGTACACAGGGCACACTCCAATTCTCTACCTCCTATACATAAATTTAGCTCATGGCTGACACTAAATTCATCAACAAGAAGACATAAAGAGAAGAGCTACCTCACAGCCAATCTGGTGTAGCAGTTCATCTCCATATAAATAAATATATCCCCTTACAGAGCTGCAGAGTGTGTGATTTATGCAATTAGTGCCATTAGTGTGTGAGTTAACACAAGTTCTAAATGCCATACAGCTGAGTGTGGGAGGTGTTCTGGGGAGAGCAGAGTCCTACATGAGCTCTCTGCTGGCAGAAGTAAGGGGAAGACCATCAGGCATTTCCTTGTCTTTGCAAATATTTGTAGATGGACTGTGCCATACAGGAAGCTGCACCGACCACCAGCAAGGCACAGAGGAACAGGAATCTGTAATTCCAAACCTGAAATGTGCCTTTTCCTTAGGTCTTTCTCAATATTTCACCTTTTCTCCTGCAAAACTGAAGGAAAACAGTGTTCCCAAATGAAACACTGTAAACTCACTTGGGAATAAATGCTGTGGTTGAGGCTCAGGAATTCGCCCCAGGGGAATTCCGCTGGCAAGAAGGACAAGAAAGGGCAGCACTGCCTTCAAGGCATCATTTGAAGAACTACCACTTCCTTTCCAATAGAAAGCAAGCAGGATAAAAATGTATCTTGGTGACACTGCACAAGTAATTCCTCTGGGTCGTCTCTCCCCCCGTCCCCCCCATTTCAAAGTGTGCATTTCAGTGGGATTTGGGAGAACTCTTGAAAGCAGAGAACAGGAAGGGGAAAAAATAGATTTGGTCTTGATTTTAAAGCTCTACCAGGATGTACTAATCTTTTGCCACAGTATTTATTATTTAGCTAAGCATAATATTTTCTTGTTAGTCTTCAAAATGTATACCCAAATAAACATGAGGAACCAGATTCT